AAGCTAAATGTAAACCTAATTCATTAATATTTTCATTTTCTTTTTTTAAACAGTGGTGGTGCTGATGACTCTACGGTCTTCAACATCACCCCCATCCTCCGGGCAATCGGAAAAGATGAGGAGACGATCTACAATTACCAGAAGGGGAGATTGCTTTTTTTAATGAGTGACACCGACAGTCTTACTCCATGGAATGGCAGGCCGTACTCGACCACAATCAAGATGGAGCACTTATTAGGGGACGCATTTCTTGATGATGAGGTGAGTGTCCTATAACCATTGTAATGACTGCATTCATACCTCTTGGATGTATCTGTGCCGCAAGTGAATGATTCTGTCAGGTTCCTAAATTACTTTTTTTTTTGGTTACCAGGTTGGTAAACCAGTGTTTCAAACGTGAATCCAGACCAGGCAGGAGGGACAGCAGAGCGGTCAGGAGGCTATGACGGTACGGTGTCATAGACCTGTTTAGCAGTAGTGACGAGGAAGAGGAGGAGCAGGAGGAGCATGAATTAAGAAAGACAGGAAGATGAAACGGGTAAGAAGATATTATTGAAGTGCCCAGCGTGTGCGAAAACTTATGCAGGAGGCATACTCCACAGGTTGAAGACACACGTCCAAAAAAAACATGGCCAAGACCCTAACATTGCAGAGTATCAGAGAAGCATTGATGAAGATCACTCACCTCCAAACAAATCTCCAAGAATAGAATGTACCAGATGTGGCAAGAGTGTAGCAGGGGGAGCGACTCACATGAGACGGCACCAGTTTTTATAATTGTTCTGTACTTGACAATATTGTCATGTAGGCTTGACTGATGTAGATAATGACATGTGTCAATTGTTAAATACGAAAAACATCCTGTTATGTGATATTGCTTTATTAGGCATTTTAGCCTTTGACACTAAGACGAATAAATGATGAAATGGTTTACGATTAACTCATGAATTTCATCTTCATTCCTTCCACCTCATTACGTGCTAAAGGTGTTCTCCAGTCCAGAGTGTTGTGTTCTTTAATATGAACTACACTGTAAACATAAAGTAGGGGGTAAAATTTTACATGAAATAACTTGGACCAAGGTGTCACCTTATAATATTACCACAATCTGTAATTTGACATAATTTGGTAATTTTGTTTACAAGAAAAACATGTTGTAAAAATTGTACAAGTAGACTGTGGTAAATTTTTTACTAGTACACTATGGTCAATTTTTGACATGAAAAGTCTGGTACTTAAGTAAGACTCCTTTGAAATCTTTTTACAAGACATCTGCAGGTGAGTTTGCAGATGATTGGTTAAACTGGTAGGCATGCATAGGCCGATGACGATGGTATCGGTAGTTATACTAATGAGACAACAAGTTTTAAGCAAATGAACAACAGATTTATTTTCTTTTATGACCACATATTAATTTGCCATAACAATCAAGTTATATTACTGCCACGCTGCAGTCTTCATGCCGACATTGAAACGGTGAGCACCAGAGTGACTGTGATAACCATTATTTCCTGATCATAACGGCATTTCTTGCCGGACGACGACAGGGGCAGGTAGGTCGCCAGTCGCGCCGGCACTGAGAATTTTTTTTCCTGCCGGGCACTAGACGGTCGTTTAATGCGTCCTGCTTTGTTCCTAGCACAAAAAAGTTACTTCCGGCCACTAAAATTATTGTGCGTGGCAACAAAATTTTGAAGCACGGCAGCAAAACTTTGGTGCCCAGGACAAAACGCATTAGTGCGTCCAAACTTTCGGTCTCCGGACAAAATATTTAGTGCCAAAAATTTTTCTCAGTGGGGGAGCATGGAGGGAGAATGCCTAACTGGCAGGCGCTCCGAGGCTGGAGGCGTGACACATTCCAGCGAAACATTTGCTTAGACAGACTGGCGTTTCGTTGTAAGACATTAATACTGTCCCTACATCTCAGCTACGACAGGGTCTACCTAGTTGCAAGTGTGCCCAGCTACCACAGCCAATATTTAAATGAATGTCAAAATTAAACATTCCGTTTTCCGGCTTCAAAAAACCCAATTTCAGTAAGAATAGTGAGCCTAAAGCAATCCATGCATGCATACGCTCGGATGAACTACATCGTCTGCATGCAATGCTCAGTGATCTGCTGTTAGCCTTAATGAACTACATTCAGTGCGATTGTGCAGGACCGAGCTGTTGCACGGGACCCACCACCTGCAGCTGCACCCTCACTACTTGCAGCTGTGCCCACACTACCTGCAGCTGCACCCACACCTCCTGCAGCTCCCCTACACTGTAGACAGGGACAGGGCCGCACGTTATCGGCCGCCTCAAGTGTGACTCTGTTCTGCCACAGGTGACTCGGCTGGTTTAATGTTTACTGCGACGAGGATCCCGCCTGGAGCACGCGAGGCGAGGCCCACACAGAGAACCGCACGTGTTTTGTGGGGACGACCAGCCCCTCGAGCTGCCCGCGCCCCCGCCGGGACACGCCCCGGCCGCAGTGGCTCAAGGTGAAGGACCTCCCCCGCGCCACGACACAGTCCCTGCTGCGGGCGCACTGCCGCACGCTGGAGGAGCTGGTGCTGTCGGTGGGCACGGCGGGGAGTGAGGCG